TCAGTGTACTGCGGGGGTTATGGCAGCTGTGTGCCGGGGCCTGCGCTGTGAGATGTGAAATAAATAAATAACTAATTAAATGTGTCAAAAATATTTATTTAATTAATTATTTCCAATTTTAATTCATTATTGCCACATTTAATTAATCATTTCATGGTGTATTTAATTAATTCATTATGGCAGTCCTGGCGTTCCATAGCTACAGCTGCGACAAAGGTTGTATATTTGATGAATTCATCAAATCCCAGCCTCTAACACAGTGCGCTGAATCTTAGCTTTGAATGTCCAGTATATTCTAATCAGTGCAATTTAAGCATTCACTGAACCTACAGTATCTACATCTGTGTGGTAAAGACACAGATAATGAAATTTAATTATTAATACAATATACATCATGAAAAACGAAAGCTTTATTTGTGAAGAGCACATCAGCTTACAAAACATACAAACATCGTACAACTGCGACGTAAAAATTTCATAAGCTAAGGTGACCTTAAAATAACGGGGCTATGTGCAGTGATGCTAGTGTTACCCATGATAGCACGTTACCTTCACAGGTGGTCAGACTGCGTAAACGGGCACTTAGTCAGAGGTTGCGCTCTCCGTTTCGCTGCAGGGTCCCTTCATTCTTCACATATCCGTGTCGAGCCGAGTGTAAATCCTGAGGCTGAACGGCCTTTGTACAAGCACACGCTTCTTAGCAGGGCGAAGCTATGAGCTAGAAAAATCCAGGCTGGCAGACAGCCTGTGTCTGACCAACCAATCAGAGAGCTCCTTACATCCCACGGTGTAGCTAATTTGAATAGCCGCAGGATTTTTAAAATGAAGTTGTTTATCCAACTGCTAATCCAAATGTTAATCCCTGAGCGAACAGGAAAGGGAAATGGATTTTGACATGAGGAGTGGAATCGCCATTTTAAAAAGCATTTTGAAAATCACTTTATTAAATTCATTATTTAAGCACAGAACTCTTTATTTTGATACGCGTGGCCACAAGCCAAAACGTGTTGGTCACTTAATAAAACTGTTCCTTAATACTGTAAGTGTCGATGGAGTCTTCAAGTCATCAGATCTTTGACTTCTCTATGAACTTTGGAAGTAGGTGAAGTTGTGCCAGAAAAGTTAGTTGTTATTTTTATATAAAGAACATAGTTATTTCTCTTGCAGCAGGTATTATAAATGCAAAACCAAAAGATAATGCAGGATTCTTTTGACTTTTTGCAGAAATATCTGTAATTATATGTGCAGACTCTGCTGACTTTATGCTGTTCAAAGCAGTGCAGTGGCATTTATCAGCCCTCATCTTGTTACAGCAACATAAAAAAACAACATTGGACAACAACAATATGTCTGCTAACATATTGTAGCGGGTCAGGGCTGTCGGGGTTCTGTTTGTACAGTTATGTTTTGTTTATGTTGCCATAGTGA